GTTTTTTGTGACAAACGAAAATTTTCAAACATCTATGCAATCTATTCAATATGATTCATTTCAGTAAACTAGTGTCAAAATTTTCACAGCCTTTCTTAGAATGTAATTTCAATCAAATTCAATATTTTGATGGGAATCTTGCTCCAAGCTTACTGCTATCATGCACTGTTTTTGCACTTACTAATCCTAAAATGTACAAGGTTTCGTAGTTAAGGAAAAACGTTTTCTCTAAAATTGTTTCTGTATTTTGCTAACCTCAGAGCACTTTGCAGTGAAACTTAAATTGAAATTCAAATGAAATGTGTACCCAAAAATGTTCCCGTTTAAACGTAAGCGATCTCGGCTTGATAAAAGTTTTCCTGCAAAAGAGAGGCAATCTTTAGTTTATGAGTGCAACAAAAGTCATTTCATGCAAAACCGATTTTTCAGCATATGAGCATTCAGTGAATTATGACACAATATATAACAAATACGTGAGAATACGGGCACTTGGATTTCGATTCGTTTTTTGAGTCGGAAAATGATGTCATCTGAAAGCATGATTTACCTACTTTCGTAACTAATGCTGATGGTAGCACAACCGAAAACTTTTGCTTTAAATTGAATTTGAGTGGTAAACCAATACAATTCGGACAATTAATTCCTGGGCAAAATTTTTGAATTTTATGATAATTTGTAGATGATGATACCACAATTAAGCATTTTACGAATAGGTTTCTTACAAAACTATCAGAGCTCTACGCGAAAGGAAAGTTAAATCTGTTTATCTATTTTTGTAAAATGAACCCAGCTCGAGGATCCTCATTGTTATCATAGACGTCAAAAACCGATAAATTGAAAACATAACAAGACTGCTCGTATCAAGGCGAAGCCTTGAATGTTCCGACTGCCTTTTAAGGTTTATGGAGCAGTAAAAACCTTAAAAAGTTCAATAAAATAAAACAAAAAGAACATTTTTTTTCTTCTAAAATTTGAATTTTTTTAAATGAAAATCATCACCCCACACGCCATATACAATAGAAAAGGATAGATTTCGCTCCTTGTTACAAATCAGTTATGGCAATTAATCTTCTTTCAACCAATTTGGAACGATTTTAAGACGGATTAACTCTCCGCTTGCGCGTTAATAGCGCGAAATATATAGCGCGTTAATTGTCCCAAATTGGCCAAAATTGCAATTTTTAAACCCCCATAACATTACGAAAAATAATCACAGGTGAAATATTTTTTCAAATTTAAGCTCAGGACAACAATAGTTTTCGAATGATATAAAAAATTTCCGTCAAAAATGGCTAGTTAAAAAGTCGAAATTTGTGTGAAGAAAAAAACCCACCCCGAGCACAAATATTCCGTTACTTTCGTATCGAAAGTCGGACCAATAATGATTTATAACTAGCCACCAATAACTTCAAAAACATTTTACTCAGCAACAAAATACCATTTTTTTGGTGAGGAGTGTTGATTATGGAGTTGAACAAGTTCGTGCGGGTTCGAGTTTTGCAGTGAAAACCAGAAAAAAAGAAAACATCTCCGAAAAAATAATCGGTTTTCATGAGAAACAAATTACCCGAAAAAGAATTATAATAATTTATTTTTTAAATTTAAGATTTTTGCAAAAATCATCCCCCACACGCCATATGAAGTACAAAGTGATAGATTTCGCTACGAGTAACAAATCAATTATGGCAAATAAGCTTCTTGTAACCAATTTGAAGCGATCTCTAAGACGGATTAACTCTCCGCTTACGCGTTAATAGCGCGACATATATCGCGCGTTAATTGTCCCAAATTGGCCAAAATGGCAATCTTTAAACCCCCGTAACTTTACTAAAAATGATCACAGGTGAAATATCTTTTCAAATTTGAGCTCAGGACAACAATACCTTTCGAAGGATATGAAAAACTTCCGTCAAAAATGGCTGGTTAAAAGTCGAAATTTGTCTGAAGAAAAAAAACCCACCCCGAGCACAAATATTCCCATTCCGTTACTTTCGTATCGAAAGTCGGAACAATAATGATTGTTCAACCTTTGATACACACTTGTTTAAAAAATATCCGAAAATCAAAAAACCACCCAGCGAAAAACAAACCCTAACACTTACACAACCAGATCAGTGAAACAAACTATTTTTCCTTCCTAATAACTATGAGCTTCAGAAACTTAATTTCTTTAGAACGCATCAACAATAATCAAGTCAATGTAATTCAGTTCTCGGAAAACGATTTGGGATCGACGTAAATAAATCAGCGGTAAATTTTCTGTTCTATTCTATTGACTGATTTGGCTACCCGCATTGGAGTTCCATGAATAAAAACCGATTATAATTGAGTTTCCTTATCAATGTCCACAAAAATGAAAACAAATCGGTTATAATCAATTTAAAATGGATTATAATATTACTATTTTTCGAGGCAACAAAATCCTTTTTCAAATATCATAATTGATTTTTTTTCCACTTTAATGAGATGCGAATTTCAACGCACATAAAGTCGTTTCTACGTTTTAAACAAAAGTTGGTTACGTTATTTACTTGTTGTTCAATTTAATTTTTTTCTACCTAACTTTGATTTTTTTGTTACTTTTTTATTTTACTCAACATTAACCCCCTAGCGTTTGCCCATTTACAACAACCTCCCCCAACGTACTGTTTGGTTCACAGTTTGGGAGTGGAGGTTCAAGTGGGGTTGGGTTCAGAAGGGGGTGTTCAGGTGGAGGGGAGTGTTCAGGTGGGGAGGGGGGGTGGGTTCAGGTGGAGGACGGGGGTGTTTTCATGTGGGGGGTGGGTTCAAGTGGGGGGCTGGATTCATGTGGGGGGCTGAGTCCAGGTGGGGGCTGGGTTCAGGTGGGGAAGGGGGGTGGGTTCAGGTGGGGAAGGGGGTTGTTTTCAGGTGGGGGGAGGGTGTTCAGGTGGGCGGTGCTCAGGTGGGGGGTGTTCAGGCTTGAGAGGGGTTCACTGGGCGGAGGAGCAAAGTGACAATTTTCATAGGGATTGAGGTGGAGCAAAGGGGCCAACATTTGGGGGGGGCAACATTCAAATCCATATTCAGTCCAATTTTGTTGTCTGAACGTAGCATGGGAATCGATTATATTTACAAAATTTCAGACCACAAAAATCCATTATAATCGATTTGTTTTCACTTTTCTTAAAAGCGGGTACAACTAGTCTTTCAAAAGGATTTTCCTCTGAAAAACGTTCAAAACAGTGTTGAAAAACTTCCTTGGTATCACTGCCAGCTAATTTTCCCGCACTTAGACCACTTTTGGACTTTTTATGCATTATTATCAATTACTATTAAAATACAAAAATCCATTACATTCTATAATAATAAATTGTTTTTATTGTTTGTTCTAAATTTCTGGATGATTTTTTGTATATGAAATTCATGAAAACCGATTATTTTTTCGGATATGTTTAATTTTTTTTTAGTTTTCACTGCAAAACTCGAACCCGCACGAACTTGTTCAGCTCCATAATCAACACTCCTCACCAAAAACCCCACACCTTAACCCCACGTCCCAGCCCACGTCCCCTCGCGTCCATTATTTACCGCCCCAAAATGTGAGATTTAGTGAGACAAAAAATTAATCAATTTAATTTTAAAATGATTATAAAAAAATACATAAAAAAGACTGAGAAAAAATTGGTTATAACCCATTAAAATTGAATAAAATCCCTGCTCCTTCAACAATTTCTGCTTTACTCACACGACCTACACGAAATCTAATCTTAGCCCTTTTTTATGTACAATGCGCATTTAACCCTAACCCTCCTATTCGTCACGTATATTTCTCAGTCCCAACCCCCCCCCCCCCCCCCCACCCCACTCCGCTTTTAGGTAACCCCTCAGACCCGCCACCACTGCCCCTCTTTGTTAATTCGTAATGTGGAAAATGTGGTGTGGGGTTAAGGCGCGGCGAGGGGGTTTGTAAACGTGGTGGGGGGGGGGGGCTTAAACGGGGGGTTTTAACGAAGAGGTGTAAGCGGGTGGTTGTAATTGTGTGGGAGGTCATATGCTGGAGGGACGACAAGGGAAGTAAATTAGATTAGGAAGAATAAATCAAGACCAGCAAAAATTGTAAAACTGAACATTTTATGAGAATGTCGTTTCATCTGATGCAGTGTAAGTTAGGCCAATAGCAACTGTTCAGTTTTGAACATACAGTTTAGAAAATTTTACAAAAACTCTCATTATAACCCATTATCATTTTACCGTGATCGATTTAAGTTGATTTTACTGATTTGACAAAAATGAAGATTCATATCCATTTTTAATCAATTTTAATGTGTTATCCTAAACTTATCTAGAGACTGACAATTTAATGAAAATCAATTGTATATTAAATTGCTGTCCAAGAAACTCCAGTGCGGGTATATGTTTTCTTTTATGATCATCAGGAACACAACAGCGGCGATAACATTCAATTAAGACCTTCTCGGTTTGCATATAAACACTCTTAATAAATTACCAACATGACTAGATGTTGAACAGAAATATTCGAAAATAGCAAAACAACTGCACACAAATTTTCAGGAAAAACTTACTTAACCTCGAAATTGTGATTATTCCATATTTTCCTAATTAAAAAATATTCCAAACATTTCTTAGTCTGTTCGGATTTTTATACAAACATTTGCTTCTAACAAGAATTAAAATAGCACAGATTGTTCTGACAACAGATGTATTTGCACAAAAAAGTTTAGAACAATAACTAAACTAATTAGTTTAGTTATTGTTCTAAACTTTTTTGTGCAAATACATCTGTTGTCAGAACAATCTGTGCTATTTTAATTCTTGTTAGAAGCAAATGTTTGTATAAAAATCCGAACAGACTAAGAAATGTTTGGAATATTTTTTAATTAGGAAAATATGGAATAATCACAATTTCGAGGTTAAGTAAGTTTTTCCTGAAAATTTGTGTGCAGTTGTTTTGCTATTTTCGAATATTTCTGTTCAATATCTAGTCATGTTGGTAATTTATTGAAAGCTGGAGTCCCGTTGTCTAGTCAACCATTGTGCACACTGATCGAACAATCAAAGTGGTAGGTGGAATATCTTTCAATGCGGTCATCGTGTAGATTCGCGTGGCTCTGTCTGCGCTAGTGTGGCTATTTGGCTCGTCGCCATACCAGTTTTCAATATCCTCCTCTCTGACAGGTACTCCCGCTGTTAATAATAGCAAATTTGATGAATTAGTATGTTTAATTTCTATTTTCCCGGATTGACCAATCTACAAAAAGTTTCCAAAATCCAATTTTCTCACGATAAAAGTTCAAGAAAGCAAATTTCTCTCCCAAAACAAAAAGATGTTTTAAAAAAAAGTTGAAATTTTCGAACAGATTATGAATGTGTTTGTATGATATCGCAGGAATCTTTTGAAAAAACAAGCATTTTTCTTTTACGAGGGACATCGCACTATTAAATAGTGAATATAACTTTTTAATAGTGAAGTAACGGTTTGAATCGGAAAAAACTAAACGGGTTTCAAAGAAAAAAATTGAATCTCTTTTGCTGTATATGATTTTTAGGCCCAATATTATATGACCAATTTTAACTTATTTTTTCCTTCATTTATCAGTTTTGTACCTGTGGTTTAGGGCTGACGAAAAATAAGCACAATTTTATATGAGAAATTTAACTACGTTTCTCTTTATCAGAATTGTACCTGTGGTATAAGTCTCATAAAAAAAAGCACCATTTTACTAGTGGAATCTCCTTCAATTCCTCAATTATCAGAATTGTACCTGAGGCCATTTTTTCAGGACAAATCTATTTTATTTTCTTGATTATCAGTTTTCTACTTGTGATGAATGAGAACTTTATTTATCACACTTGTACCTAAAAAGTGAATGTTATAAAAAAGACACCGTTTTCTAGGTTAAATCTAACTTTTTCCTCAATTATTAGACTTGTACGTATGGTTTTAGTCTGATTAAAATACTACTTTTTACAGGACAAATATAGTCTTAAACCTCATTTAGCAAACTTTTACCTGTAGTGTAAGTCCCATTAAAAAAGAACCGTTTCATAGGACAAATCTAACTTCTTCCTTCCTTTATAAAACTTGTACATGTGGTTTAAGCCTGATAAAAATAGGTCGCTTTTTACAGGACAAATCGAAATAAAGTCCTCTTTTATCAGACTTCTAACTGTATTTTAAATCTGATGGTATTATTATGTCAGTTTTTATGGGAAAAATCTAAATAAAATCCGCAGCCATCGGACTTATACTGGTGGTGTGTGTCTGATAAGAAAAACTTACTTCTTATAGGACTAATCTAGCATCAACCCTCCTTTATTAGACTTGTACCTGTAGTGGAAATCTTATAAAAAAAGACACCGTTTCATAGATAAATCTAACCTCTTTCCTCATATATTAGACTTGTACGAGTGGTTTGAGTCTGATAAAAAAAAACTTTTTTTTCTAGGACAAATCTAATTAAATTCCTCAATTATCAAACTTGTACTTGTTGTTTAAATTTGAAATTAATAGGTCAATTTTTATAAGAAAAAAATCTAACTAAAGTCCGCAGTCATCAGACTTATACCGGTGGTTTGAGTCTGATAAAAAAACTACTTTCTACATGGCAATTCCAGCTTTAATCGTCATTTAGCAGACTAGTACTTGTCTTGTAAATCTTTTTAAAAAAACACCGTTTTATAGGATCAATCTAATTTCTTTCCTCATTTATTAGACTTGTACGTGTGGTTTTAGTCTGATAAAAAAACTACTTTTTACAGGACAAATCTAGCCTCAACCCTCATTTAGCAGACCTGTACCTGTAGTGTAAGTCTCCTTAAAAAAGAACTGTTTCATAGGACAAATCTAACTTTTTCCTTTCTTTATAAAGCATGTTCCTGTGGTTTAAGTCTGATAGTAATAGGCTTAAGTCTAGATTCATTTCTCATTTATCAGAAAGGTACCTGTGGAGTAAGTCTTATAAAAAAGGCATTGTTTTTTAGGACAAATTTGACTTTATTCCTCATTCATCCAAATTATACCTGTGGCTTAAGTCTTAAGAAAATTAGGCATGGATTTATAGGACAAATATAAAATCAACCCTCATTAATGAGACTTGTAACTGTCTTGTAAAAATCAGGCATCGTTTTGAAGGACAAAACTAATGTCATTTCTCATTAATCAGATTTTTACATGTGGTGTAAGTCTTTTAAACAACAGTCACCGTTTAAAGGAGAATCCAATTTCATTTCTCAATTATCAGACTTGTACTTAAGGTTTAAAACAAAAGTAGGCACTGATTTATACGCTAAATCTAGCTTACTTACTCATTTCTTAGACTTGTTCAATTTGGTTACTAACGTTATAATTTTTGCTGCTTTGCTGGAAAACATCCAATGGGATGTCCGGACTTTGTCATACCTGAGCTTTTACTACGACATACGCAAACGAACTTTCTTTTATCTAACACAGACAAGGAACCTTACGAAGATCATTTGTGTTTTTTCCGCCCATTGGCAATGTAAATGAACGGACACAATGATCTCGAATCTCACACTTCTAGATAACTCACAGAATTTGTATTAAAGTCAGGTCATGATCCTAAAAGTTTCCGTGGAGTTTTAGTAGAAGACTTACCTGTTGTCGAGGAATTTGTGCAAAGAAACATCTTTACATATTGTTTCGATATCCAAGAAAGTGAAGATGTACGAGAATAAGCTCCACGAAGAATTGAAAAACTCAATAAAACAGTTAAACTACTGAGATTTAACAATCATATCATTCATAAAAATGATGTTTATTCTTTTTTCAAGTGCTTCCGGTGTCCTAATTGTGACACTTTCTTCAAAAGATCTGAGTTTCTCAACAAACATCTTCTGAGATGCAAGGATCGAGTGAGACATAATTACCCAAAGAACGTGTATGAGCTTCGAGAAACCTTGTTTGAAAAACTAGAAGGGTTCAATCGTCCAGTTTCTGAAAATAACAAGCTTTTCAATAATCTAGCATTTTTCGATTTTGAGTCGTTTCGTTTTCCTACAGAAGAAATAAAAGAGACGCAAACTACTACCTAGATTGGAAAACATGTTCCAATTTTAGTCTAAATATCATCGAATCTGATTGATGAACCCATCTTTTTGTACAACAAGGATCCACAAAACTTGATAGTCGATTTCGTAAGCAACATCGAACTGTTGGCTGAAAATAGTAAGCTGTAGATGAGAACGAAAACTCAAGATATTGAAGTGGCTGTCAATGAACGATTGAAAAAGATCTTTGATCAACTAAACGAGCGAGGTAAAAACTATTCAAATAGCAAATTTGAGTACAAAGATGAATGCATTGAAGATTCGGAAGAAGCTGATATGTCAACACAATTCTTGCGAGTTCAGAAGAATCAATTTGATTATTTGAAACAACATCTGGAGAGATATGTAAATACTTTACCTCTTTTTGGATTTAACAGCGGTAAATTTGACTTAAATTTGATCAAGTCCTACTTAATCCCTTCTTTCATTCGCGATAAAGAACACGAAACGTCATTCATCAAAAAAGCGAACGACTTTATATCTTTCAAGTTTGGAGATTTACAAGTCCTCGACCTAATGAAGTTTCTGGGTGGGCCAACTACTCTGGGCTTTTTCTCAAAGCCTATAAAACTAGCGAAACGAAAGAATTGTTTCCCTATGATGGGTTTGATAATCTAGACATACCTGACTTTCCCGAATTCCTACCGCATTAAGCCTTTTCAGCAAACTTAGGAACAATAATCCTATAGACAAAGACTACATTGATTATGACAAGCTAAGAAAGAGTGGGCTTGACGAACAACAAGCAGTGAAAAAGCTTCAAATCAAATCTGTTTCTCCATCTGGTTTGGATAATTACAATTACTTGCAAGAGACTTGGCAGAAACGGAATGACAGTGTTCAAAGACTTTTTGCAGTCGTATAATAACAAAAATGTTGTTTCAACCCTAGAGGCAATGCAAAAAATGATTCATTTTTATCATAGCAAGGGAATTGATATGTTGAAACTTGGATGTACACTTCCAAAACTAGCAAACATATGTCTACATAAATATACAAATTAAAAGCTTTCTCCATTTTGCGAAAGTGATAAAGATTTGTGGGAAAAAATACGAGAAGACATGACCGGTGGGCTTTCCTTTGTGTTCATTCCAAAAGCGGTAGTTGATGAATCAATCATCAGAAATTCATCAAACGTTTGTAAATCAATCGTTGGAATTGATGCAAGTGAGCTCTACCCCTTCTCAATGTGTCAAGATCTGCCGACAGGACTGTGCAGGAGTTTGACAATGATATGCAGAAAGTCAAGACTAGAAATTTCCGATCTCGCAACTTTGAGAATATTGTCTGTCTTTTTACCAGAAAACAAGACAAGAATGCAAAATTGAGAGGTTTTTCACATCTGGAAAACAGAAAAAAATCGACTGTTTTAATGTTACTGGTTACTGTGATCACTGTAAAACAGTGTTCAAAGCAATGGGATGCTACTACCTCTTCTGTTCCTGTCAAGGAGCTCGTCCCTCCCTAACAAAACAGGATATTGAACGAGGTAATGAGAAGAGAGAGAGAGAGATGGATGATATGAGGCGGGAATACATAAAAGAGAAAGGATACAAAGTTGAAGAAACGTGGGAGTGTGAGTCGTGGGAAAGTTTCAAAACCAATGACAATATCAAAAAACATATCACAACCCACTTTCCTTTCCCTAGAAAATACTTCTTTCTCTAGACTCCCTTTTAGTAAAAATAAAAGATGAATCCCTTTTTGGTTATGTTCAGTGTGATTTAGTTGTTCCAGATGAACTGAAATCAAAATTTGCGAATTTTCCTCCAATTTTCAAAAAAAAACTGAGGTTGCAAGAAACTATATTGGAGATTATATGAAGAATTATGCAATTGAAAACGAATTGTCAAAACTTTCTCACAGAATGCTGGCATCTAGTTTCAAGCTGGAAAATGGAACAGTTATAACTCCTCTGTTCAACTTTTATTTGGAACTTGGATTGCAGTGCACCAAAATTTACGGTTTTGTTCAATATTCTCCTCAGTAATAAATTATTAGTTTCGTTCAGTCAGTGGTTGATGCGAGAAGAGAAGGAGACGAAAACCTTCTACCAGGCGTTGTAGCAGAAACAATGAAACTTTTGGGTAATTCCTCCTATGGAAATCAGAACATGGATAGATCCAGGCATTCAATTACGAAGTATCTGAACAATGAAAAAACTCATAGAGCAATCACTGAACCATTGTTCAAAAGATTAACTACATTTGAAAAAGACTTGTGTGAGGTGAAGTTGTCGAAATCCACCATTGAACACAGAGAACCCATCATTGTTGGTTTTTTCATACTGCAGTATGCAAAAGTGAGAATGTTGGAGATCTACTATAACTTCTTCGAGAAATTCTGTGATGTCAACAAGTTTGAAGAGTTAGAGATAGACACAGACTCACTTGACTTAGCACTTGCTGAAGAAAATTTATATGACTGTATCCAACCAGATAAGAGAGCTGCTTGGGGAAAAATGAGGGAAAATGATTGCAGAGACTCTTTCAAGGCAGATGCAAAATCTAATTTCTTCCCTCAAACGTGTTGCAGCAACCATAAAAATGCGGATAAACGGGAAACGGGATTTTTTAAAGAATAATTTAGATGTACAGAAATGCTATGTTTGTGTAGCAAGACATATTGCTGCTATGACAACAAGTCATATAAATTCAAATTCACTAGTAAAATTTTGAACAAACGAGTTCTAGAAGATTCTGGAGACGGCCCCATGTGGAGAGTGCGCGATGTAGCAATCAACCTAGCATCTATAAAAAGAGAATTCAGAACCGTGAACCATTTGGTGGCCACATATGAGCAAACAAAGAAAGGACTTAGTTATTTTTATCCAAAAAGACAAGTTCAAGATGATAGAATTCATGCAAAACCATTAAACTGATATGAACTGATGAAATGTAAAAAACGTATAACGATGATGCAATGTAATAAATTTTTGTACAATGCAGTTTTTTTGTTGGTGTTTTATTATAAGTTTCAATTACGATGCAGTGATTGATATACTTTCTTTGTAATTTATTTTTTTTCTCTCAAAAAATTGACTTTTTTCGAAGTTTCAGTAGGTTTCAGCATATTTTCAAGTAGATGTTTCACATAGTAAGACTATCTAATAAAATAGTTAATAGGTTGAATGATAACAAATCTTATCGTGTTTCGTAGTTTTTCGAAAAAAAAAATCTGTTTTTTGAAAAAAAAAATCTCAATTTTTACCCATAAACTCTTACCCTTTACTTACCATATACCAAAAAACTAATTAAAACACCTTCATTCCAAAATCTACACGTAACTAACTAGTGATTATTACCAGTTAGATAACGAGCGCCAAAACTTTTGCGAAAAAATAGACATTTCCATTCAAAACCCAATAATTCATTTTTCTTACGATTCTATTACCATCACACAAACCATGAAACCTTACCAAGTCTATTCCCTATCTTATTACATTGTAGACTCTATACCCAATGTTAATACATAACGAGGCTGACCCGAAATCTATAATGTATCTTAATACATAGGGTCAGCCACGCAGCCCCCCCCCCCCCCCTCCTAACCTCCAACATCTACTATTCTAACTTCTTTTCTCATTTATCATAATTGTACCTGTGGTGTAATTCTTATAAAAAAGCACCGTTTTATAGGAAAAATCTAATTTCATTGTTTCCTTATCAGAGTTCTACCTGTGGTGTAAGTATTATAAAAAATAGGCATCGTTATTTAGGACAAATCTTATTTCTTTTCTCATTTATCAGACAAGTACCTGTGGTGTAAATCTTATAAAAAAAGTACCATTTCATAGTACAAATCCATTTTCATTGCTTGTTTCTCAGACTTTTACCTGTGGGGTAAGTCTTATAGTGAACAGGCGCGGTTTTAGAGGATAAATCGAACTTCAGTCCCCATTTAACAGACTTGTACCTGTGGTGTAATATTTATAAAACATAGGCAACGTATTATAGGACAAACCTACCTTCCTTGCTTCTTCATCAGACTTGTACCTGTGGTGTAAGTCTTATAATAAATAGGCACTGTTTTATAGGACAAGTTTAACTTCTTTTTTCACTTAGCAGACTTGTTTCTGTGGTGTAAGTCTTAAAATAGGCACCCTTTTATAGGACGAATCTAATTTCATTGCTCCTTTATCAGAATTGTACCTGTGGTTTAAGTCTTATAGCAAATAGGAACGGTTTTATAGGACTTTTCTAACTTCATTTCTCATATATCAGTGTACCTGTGGTTTGCCAAGTTCCACTGTTTGCTGGAGACCAAAGGCCGAACCATAAATCAAACCAGTGTTTCTGCAAATGCAAATACAACTCCTCGGCCTCGCCATTTGTTGCGAAGTTGATGTCATCGTACAATCTGCCTCCGATAGAATTGCAATGAGCCCTTGCTCCATACCAGTCCAAAAGAGTTCCGATTTTTTTGAAGTGTTTGACAATCATGTTGAAGTCCTGAGTGCTGTCAATCTCACAGTATGAAACATCCACCTTGCAGATTTAGACGTTGTAATAATTTCGCTTCATTTGGAAAAAAGATCTTCAAGAAAGCGGTTTTTCGAAAAAATTTCAATAATTTTTAAATATTTTTTCAGAAGTAGAAATGCCAAGATCTTGAAAAAAGAGAAAATTTAAAAAAAACAGATTTTCGTTAAAAACTTTTTATAAATTTTATTGAAATATTTCCCAAAATTGACAAAACTGAGTAGAAAGAGCAAAGAATTTAGTAAGCCAAATGACCTTTACTCTTTGACCTTGATGAACACAGCTTTTATAGCGCACTTATTTTCAGTTGAAAAAATTCAATGATATCAAAAGGATAATGATAAGAAACATCTACAAGTAATAAAGAATCCTCCCGCCGCACTGACTGAAGAAAAAGTATGAATAAAAAAAATCGAAACAAAAAATCAAAAAAAGATTTTTCACTCAATTTTTTTTTCAAAAGTTGACTGTCATTAATTTTGTAGAAGTAGCTATTGAAACCACTGAAGAATGCATGAACGAGTCGTAAAAATAGCTAATACAGCGTTAAAATTTTTGGAAAACTCTGATCAAACTCTGTCTAAAGCCTTATCTTATTCAGTCTGAAAAACAAAACGATTAACCAGATTTTTTTTTTCATCACTCTGACAATTTGCTCAATTTTAGTTTTAAAATCCAAAATATGGTTTTACAAATATATATAGTTTTATAGGTTACCACACTTGCGCCCCTGTCAGTTTTCCCTGACATATCCAAAAATGGTCGAAAGAGACGAATACACACTACGCCCTGCAAAAGAAAACACACTTAGGAGGCTGGTCGGAACAGAACCAGTACGTCAACGGAGGAACGTACATGAACTTAAACCTAGCCGAGAGACGCTGGAAAAGAGTCAATGAACGCAAGTAAACAGAAAAAAAAGTGACTTGTGTTTTGAGAAAATGACCCGACTTTTCGAACTTCCAATCTTGATTTTCTAAAACAATTATATTGACCTTTTTTTGATAAAATTGTAACCCAGTTAGAAAAATTTTGGTTCGCTAGAAAATGTGATTGGGAAATTCCATTTTCGAAACTAAAAAATGATCACATTTCTCGTGAAATTTACAATTTTGCTGGGCGACACTTCAAAACGTTCAAGTTGAGGCGAAAAATTATGTGTACTAAATTTCATTTTCACCCTAATCTGATGCAATTCTGATCACATAAGTTTAGAGGCACAAAATGAATACAATCAACTGACGAAGAAAGTGAGACAAGACTGCTCGTACCAGAGTTTGAAAACGAACTTGATCTGTCGATATTGCATCTGGAACCAGTTCAAAACAAGTACTTATAATATACGTTGATATTCATCACTGTAAAAAATTTAAAACTAAGAAATCATGATCCATTACTAAAATTACAATAAAATGTAAAGCTGAAACTATTTCTACTTTCAGCCAGAGAAAATATAATACAGACTAAAATCAGTTACTTCCTTTTCTCCTCTAATCTCGCAAGAATATCAGTATATTCTAGATCTAACGAGACTAGGAAATATAAGAGTAAGATTAGAATTGGAATTAGATTAAAAAGTTGCGCGGACCTATCCGGCCGAAAATAAAATAGCGTGACGAACAGACGGTGTATCTTATCTGAAATTACTGTATGAGAAGGCCACCCCAGACTTAAACTCAGATCAAACACTTAAACGACTATCAGCAACGAGCTCATCAGCCGGCAATTTAAGCGACGTCGTTTCTACGAGATGGGGGTGGAGGCGCCTTATAACAGAGTGGGGGGTAAAGGTTCCTAAAACATTGATAAAGGATGCTGAATGAGTACTCCAAACCAAATTGCAAACAGACGTATTAATATGGCTACAAGGACCACTTCTTGATATACTTCCCGCTAGACTCGTGCCGGGTTAATAAAGAGTTGAGCGAGTCCCCGAGAGATAAAACTCTTTGAAAACTTATCTTAAGAATAAAAACCGCCGAGAGCATAAACAATCTTCATTTTCTTCGAATGTCAGAAAAATAATTACCAGCCAAATAGCTCAGTAGAAATTATCAACTGAATTACAGAAACGGCGTGTTGCATAACAATCATTATCTTCTGCAGATGCCCGGGTTGACGTACATAGAAGGAAAACACTTAACATACAATTTCATATATGGCGTCCATGGAAAAAATGCTTATCATACTATTTCCATACAAAATTAAAAAACAGTTTTCAAGATTTTTAATGCACAGTTTTATTCAATTTGGCTCATTTGAAATTTTATGGTCATGTAAATAATGACAAAACAATTTTGGATGAGAAAATGCTTGTCATATAATTTTCATAGATGAAAATTGTATGATATGAATTTTGTGATTGAACTTTTTTTTCAAAAATCTCTTCAAAAACCTGTCTCGGTGATTACAAATGAAGTTAAAGAAGACTTTCTATGACAAAAAGCAATTTAACATCAAAAACATGATTTTAGTTTTGTAAGTATGTATGAAATTGTACGAAAAGCATTTTTTGGATAAAAGAGAGAAAACTCAAAAATCAATTGAAACTTTGTTTGGGCATTTCTAAATGAGTATAATAGGGGTTTTCAGTGGTTGAGATCAACTTACTGTCAAACATACAATTTCAATTGCTGTCGGCAAAAAAGTTTAGAATTTAGTTATTATAAATGAAAATTGTATGATATGTTTTTTCTTCAGAGAAAAAAAAACCAACGAATATGAAAAAAAATTAATCCTATTTTTGGTTGCAAACTTGTTTGTGTGCTCAAATAAATGTTTTACAAGAAAAATTTGCATGCAAAAATTAACTTTTTCTGTTTATAACGTAGTCCAGGATACGTTTTTCACCCAAAAAATCCAAAAAACATCAAAAGTGTTTTTTCTTGTAAACATATTTTTTTTGTTTCATATGCTAAGATAAAGATAAGTTTGTAAGAACAACGAACTTTTTTCTCAACCACTAAAATTTTCAAGCTAAAAAGTATCTAGCCATACACAATAAGTTACAATTTTGGTACATTAATCCGTGTGAAATTGTTAAAATAACTTACTTGGCTAAAATCAGAAAATGCAGTTTATCTGCGTGGCAACTGCCAGTTACACTCTGGGTTTTTTTATGCCGAAAAAGCCTTGATTAGTGTCTGAGATGAAACACAAAAAATCAAAACAAAATTTTTTTGTAAATTCATTTAAGGAAAAATGCTTATCAAACAATTTCTTAATATGGAAAAAATGTTTATCATACAATTTCATAGAACAAAAAAAATTTGCTAGAGCTTTTCTTCACAAAATTTTTGCAAAAAAAAGTATGGCAAACTGATTGTTTGCTAACTTTAAAAAATTCATAATATATTATTTCACAGTATGGAAAAAACTTATCTTGCTCTTTTAATAGTTTTTTATGTATGAAATATTATAAAATTGTATGAGAAGCATTTTTTCCTAATATGAAATAGTATGATAAGCGTTTTTTTGTCAAACCAGGTGATTCGAAAGGCGGCACACGACTATCAGGCTTTTGACGTTGACTCAAAATTATTGTTGAAGCCAGAGTGAAAACAAAAAAAAATTAGTCTCGCCACGTTTCTCCGCCAATTCAAAGGAAATTGTACTCACGTTAGGCATAAAATATTCAACTTTAGCCTAATTTCCCGTAAATTTGCCAGTACATAATGGAGGAATGTACTTGAAAGATTACAAATTCAAGTTATCGAGAAACTTTTTATCTACTGGGCGTAATTTATTGTGATTCCTCTTTCTGATAAAATTAGACATGTTCAGTTCGCGAGATTCAAACTTGTTTGAGCTTGAACAGCAAATATATCAAAAAATTGCTAAAGAAATCAATCATGCATGAAACCTTACAAGCTTGACAAACTTAAAAACAACGTTTAATCGGATAGCCCTATGAACATATCAGTTCTTCGGTCAATCTATAATCAGATTGCCAAAGTAATAATCGGTCTAATGATTGATCTTTTAATTACGTCACAGCAAACAAAATAGTGAACAAAACTGTCCTATGGAAAAGTGTTCGTTTTAAAAACTGATAAACGTCAAGAAAAAAAATAGTTTCAAAAACCATACCAACACTTTCATTAACACAATGGACATTTTTGCATTTAGCAAATTATCAATGGGACCAAATCGGGTGCATCATTTCAGTTTGGAACGTTTTCTAAAATTTTATTTCAGTTTGGAACGACATCTTCACTTCATTTCAAAAGCACGAAAAATACCACGAATTGATTAACCCAAATTAGCCGAATTAGCAACCTTTAAACCCCCTTGATTTTGCAAAAATAATCATAAGTGAGTTAGTGTTTTTCATTTTGAGCTCAGTACAACAATACCTTTTGAATGGTGTATGACAATTTTGTCAAAACTTGATAACAAATCAGCCGAAAATGGTATAGTGAAAAACCACCCCATGCAAAATTATTCCGTCAGTTTCTTCAAAAGTCAGAGCAGTAATGACCATCTACGTAGTTGCCTGACCAGAACAACAGTTATTTCACTTTACGAAGATTATAAGTTTTTGTTGTTCAAACTTTCGTAACGAAAGTAACGGAATCTTTGTGCTAACGAAAAAGTTTTATGATAAAAAGTATGGCAAAACGCTTGTTATTTAATTCAAGAATGTGCCAAAAAATGCATGAAGGAATATTTCTTGGTATGGAAAAAATACTAATCATGATATTTTATTAGTATTTTTTTTAGGTATGAAATAGTATGAAATAGTATGATAAGCCATTTTTTCATAATATGAAATAGTATGATAAGCATTTTTTTAACCCGGACGAGTCAAAACGCGGGACATGACTATCAAGTTTTTAATTTTGACAAAAATATATTGTGAAGCCAGAGAGAAAACAAAAAGAAAGTTAGTCTCGCCAAATGTCTTTACCAATTCAAAGGAAAGTGTTCTCATGTTAGGCACAAGAGATTCAGCTTTAGACAAATTTGCCCTTAATTTGCCAGTCCATAATGGAGGAATGTACTTGAACTTTTAAAAGTTTAAGTTATTGAGAAACTATTTATCTATGGGCGTAATTTAATATTATTTCTCTTTCTGATCAAATTACGTTCAAATAACTTTAGAGGCCAATATTGACAACAATAAATTAACAATAAAATTAAATCAAAAGTTTTTGTATCAGGGCGCAGCTCTGAAGGTTCCGACTGCTTTTTAGGGTCTACTGAGCAGTAATAACATGAAAAATATAAGGTACTAAACAAATGATTTTTTTCTAAATTTTAGTTTTTTTTTGCAAAAATCATGCTCTCACATATAAGTAAAAAATGATAGTTCGGCTTCTAGTAACAAAACAAATTTGGCAAATAAGCTTCTTTCAACCAATTTTGAGGACTTCTCAGACAGATTAAATCTCCGCCTACGCGTTAATAGCGCCAAATAAGTCGCGCGTTAATTGTCCCGAGTTGGCCAAAATGGCAATCATTAAATCCCCATAACGTTACATAAAAAATCACAGGTGAAGCATCTTTTAAAAATTGTGCTCAGATTAACTAAATTTTTGAACTGATATATAAAAAATTGCTCCAAAAAAGAAGAAAAAAACACCCCGAGCACAATCATTTCGTTAATTTTGTTCAAAAGACTGTTCGCATAAGAGTGAATAAAAAAAAATTGCATTTCTCATACAAGAAACGGATCAAATAGCATGCCTCAATTCGATTTGGAACGATTTCTTTAACGTAATAAATATCCGCTTACGGGCTAATAGCTGAGAAATATCGCGCGCTAATTACCTCAAATTGACCAAATTGGCATATTTTAAGCCGGTAAATTTGACAAAAAGATCACAAAAAAAATATGTTTTTGATTTTGGCTGACAACAAACATTTTCGAAAATTGCTGGTCGAAGCTCAAAACTATCTATAAAAAAACCACGGCTAGCACATTTTTTCTCGTGACTTTCTTCAAAAGTTGGCAAGAGGTTTCAGACAGCCATTTTAAGGAAAAAATGGACTGAAATTGTATTTTGCAATTTGATTAGTTTGCAATTTGGTCATGCACCCATAAAAGACGAAATTGTTCATAAAACAACTTGACTGCACGTATATCAGTGCAGAGACTTGAATGTTCCGACTGTTTCTTAATCGAAACCGAATAGTTGTTGGTAAATTAATAAAACACCATAAGTTTTCGACAATGTCAAACACCAAGTATGAAAATTTGAGTAATATGAAACTAATACGATTGATTAGCTGGCCTTAATTTGGAACAATTCAGTAAACATTAATACAACCAAAAAATCAAATGCAACTTCATTTATTTTACAAACAAAGAAAATGAAATGGAAACGTATTTAACAGAAAAATGAACTCAAAACATGCGACTAAGTCAAATATCTGTTGGAAACTTGATGGAAAAAAATCAGGCTTGTTTGCTTTGCGGGATTCAATTTTGTTTGAGCACTAAACAGTAAATAAATCAAAAAGTCCTACAATGCTTTAAAAAATCAATCATGCATGAAACATTACAAGCTTGAGAAACTTAAAAATTAATGTCTAATATTAATCTAGACACGTCCATTAGTTGTGCATAAATTTGAAATCAGTCAAATGATTTTGTGAACCTCGTTATCATTATTACAGAAACAAACAAAAATCTAAAAAGGTGTTTCAGCAAAAAAAACTAAATTCGCCGAAAAGTTTTTCTTACGGATAACATAAAACCAACTATAACTACATCAAAAATGAAGAAGAAAAATAAAAAGATGTTACCCAAGCCATTTTTTGTATTGAATTTTCCAAAGATGAAAAATTGTTAAAATTTATATGTGCGAAAAAATCTACAATCATTTTTTTTAGCAGACAAAAGAAATTGAGGTTGGGAAGATAATTGTCCCCAATTGAAAAATGTTTTTCCCCAATGGAATAATAATGGGAAAAAAAGAGTATAGGATTTGTTCACGAGTGAAATCCAACCAATTTCTGATTAAAAAAATCGGCTTTTGAGTCAAATATTACGAATAAGCAATTTAATGTCAAGACCACTCAAGTGTGAAAAGAAATTTCACTCGTTCCGGTAATAACAACAGCCATTAGGAACCGCGAGAAATTGACTCATTTTCATTCTGTCATCTCTATCTTACCAGGTTCCGCCGAAAGTGAGCGAAATATATACGATAGTCAGATACAAAACCATGTTGATGCTCCACCCGAAATTAGAAGAATTGATACAGACAATCGATGATCATTTGGCCAGAGTTAGGCTAAGACTAAGATTGCACCGGATATATAGATTCAATTCTAGGGAGAGATTCTAAACCAGATCAGTACAAAAATGAATCTCACTTTAGAGGAGGAAAGGGGAGGATGTTGGGGGAGGATGTTGAATTGATTCTAAGTTGGAATTTCCAGCCGATCAGAATCAAGCTTACATGATTTACATGCAGCGCTTAGAAAATTTATTTCAAATTAAAGGCTGAGCGGAAAATATCAACTTGGTATATCTGGGGGAAGGGGGGTTTGGAGAAGGATGTTAACCTAATACTGTAAATCTACAGCCTCTTGTGAAAAATTTGAAACGGAAGCAGCCATGCGCAAGATCCCATCCATTCCTGCGACACACAACAATTGCCCAAAAAATACAATCGGCAACACTTAGAAAACCATATTCAAACTGACAACCACAAAAAATACAATCGGCAACACTAAGAAAATCATATTCAAATTGACAACAAAGAAAACAAATAGCACGACCAGGTCTTCAGGTTGACTGCATAGAGCCACCCGTTCAGGTCAATCCATTCGAAGACAAAAATGACAATGATCTTCAAAAAATTGGTCCTACCACCGCATCTAAATCAGATGGGACGCATATGAGCAGACTAGTGGGTGGGGGTTAACGATAACTACAATACGGCCAAGAGTTTCAGAAACAGATCGTTTATCTAAAGAAGGTTTGAATTTTTTTTTCTAAATCGGATATCTATAGCTGTTTTTTTTTCTTCACAATGTAAGTACGGCTCTGCGCATCAAAATAACAGACATATATACCCCCTTTAAATAGCATGCACAAGCGCACTTTAGTGAATGTCGAGCATTTCTAATATTCAGTATTCTCTGAACAAAGATTTTAAGGGGGGGGGGATTTTAGCAGCCGGTTGCTATAATTTATACTTACCTTTGTTCCAGTTAGTGATGAATAGCACTCTTTGGGTCGGAATTTGATCAAATCAGTTGCATTGTTTCGAGTGGTTATCAAACTAGGGTCGCTTGAAAACCACTCTGTTCCCCAGCTGTACTCATCAGCTAAAACGTGGATGTGATTTATACAGAAAAAAAATTTTTGCAAAGAAACTGAAGTGGTTTGATTCAACTTTATGTAGAATGAAATGAAACTACAACATTAATTTTTTTCTCTATTTTAGGCTTCACTGCTACAGCATGATCGACCTGACTTTTGCCCATAAATGTTTTCTATTTCCGATATCTTGTACTGCAACGCAGCAGAGTTAGAAACGAACTAGCAGAACGGACTATAGTAGAAATATTCGGCGAAATAGTCTCTCCGAGTTTTTCTTATTGTTCCGACTTTCAAAGAAAGTGATAGAATATTTGTGCTTGTGGAGTGGTTTTTTCTACAAACTAATTTTGAATGTTTTACAAGCCTTTTTTGACGGGATATTTCATATCATCTGGAAAGTACTAATGTCTTGAGCTCAAAATTAAAATATAATTTTACCAGTGATTGTTTTTCTTCAAATTTGAAAATTGCAAATTTGGCAATTTGGGATGTAATTAAAGCGCGATATTTTTTGTGATATTTATGCGCAAACGGTGAAATAAAATAATTTCAAATAGAATTAACGCAAGCAAAATGATCTAACGAAAAAATGAAAAATAAAGAAAAAAAATTGCATTTTTTACCAAAATCTTATCAATTTTTGACAAAAGAAAACTTTTTCTTTGACTTCAAACCGCAATCGGAACATTCAGTGTTGCGCCTTGATACGAGCCGTCTGCTTGTTATTTTGTATTAATACAAGAAGACATCAAACCAAATGTCAAACTTTGATTTCTTCCAGTTTTTGTTATTCAGTCAATTTTCGCCGATCGAAATAATAGTTTTCAAAAAAAAATATAGCTCATAAAAGATATCGACTTCCTGAAATTCAATTTGAAAAAAAATTTACCTACAATATTTTTGTGAAGCTCTGGTGATTTGCGAATTGCTAAAATGGCCATGTTATGGACTAATTTATGCGCGCTTTGAATAGTTTATTCATAATGATGAGAGCGTAAAGCGAACTGTCTATGCGTTTGCAAATTATCCCGCGCAACAAAAACGTTCCGAATTGAAATGAGGCTAGCTAATTGGTCGTATTGATTTCGTACGACTCAAAATTATACTTTTTGATTTCATCAAAATTTATATGTTTTCAATAATATACGAGCAGTCTTGTTTTATACTAGGAGTAAATTATTATCTAACCGCTTCGAACTGAGTAAACCCAAGTAAATCTAAAAACCTTCAACATTTCAAAGTTCTTAATAATTTGAGAGGCCCTCATTTTTCAAGACAACTTAAGAAAAATTCCAATGATGATTTACATTTTTCAGACGTTCAAAATTAGTGATTAGTTCCTCAGTTTTTTCTGTTATCAAACTAAAAATTGAATTTTTAAAGTTATAATGGAAACCGACAATGGAACCCAGCTTCTGCAAAGAGGTATTTGTAAGTAAAAATACGATAGACAATTAGATGTGTAAGCTGGAACCGGAACTGTTGGTTTTAGGAGGAAAACAAAAAAAAAACAGAAGTGTGAAATTCAGGATCTGAAACTTCAGGATCTGAAACAGAGATGAAAGGCTGCCAGCACAGTAGAGATATACAAGCAAAGATTGTGCTCTAATATGAAATCCACCGTTCGATGCAATGGCACTAATTGAAGTTACGCATACAACAATTGATTTTTTTCAGACAAACCGAAAAGTAAATATTTCCCATGGGTGAAGCAAAGTGTGTCAAATGTACATGGTAATTACGGAAAAAATAATCCCTCTATCTTTTGCAAAATTTCTGCTTCGGTGAAAAGCAGGATACTAACAAGGCTAGGAGGAATCTGAAATATCAGAAAAACAATTGAAACGCGCAAGGTATAGACAATTTACTTGCAAGTCTGCAAGTCAATTTATGTAATTTCCGCGCTGCTGCGGGAACACTTAACAAAAAATTGAATATTTTTTATAAGAGAATATCAATGCATTTGTGCGATTTCCGCGCTGCTCCGTGGTCCAAACAACTGAATAATATTTTTTTTCTATATAAGTCATACTAAAAAAACTCAATCAAAAATTTTTTTCTGCTTTTTTTGTTCCCAGTGCTTGCGTGATTTCCGTTCTGATTTGGGATCTTTAAATACAAATACTAAAATCAAAACTGTTTAGGAAATTGGAAAAAGGGTTTGAAAAAGAAAAGGAATAGAGGGTGTCGAGGATTGGGAGGGGTAAGCAATGAATGGGGACAAAACACTTATGAGCGTTTTTTATGAATAAAATTTCGCAATATTCGCTTTTAGCTTTAATGAAAACTGTAGCGATCTATATCAACATTCCACCAAATTTGCTTTAAACCGATTACAAAAGTCTCCATAACTATGTGAATGGAGTTTTATTTTTGCTAGGGTTTCAAAATAAACACGTCGTTTTTGGTAAATTCAACGTAAATTTCCAGCTAAATTAAGCAAAGCGAAAAAAAATTGAGGATAATTTGATAGGAAAAGGCATACTAGAAAACACAATTGGCTGCCTCCCAACAAGAATGACCGATCGTAGCAGCACAATGACTGACCTATTTTTCAGTACATCAGGTTTCTTAAAGAAAATTAGCACACATTCAGTGCTTGATCTTTTTGTTTTTCTGTTTTACTCAAAAGCCTCGAAAAGGATAGGTTCACGGGAAGAAAATACTAGAAACTGGAACAAGTTGACAAAAGGGTTATAAGTGAAAAATTAGGTTTTCCTTTACAACATGAAATTGGTAAATGCATGCAATTACGGAGTCCTTAGAATCTGCAAACGTCTTCACGTGTTTTTGAAAAGTAATTGATCCATATGAAAACAATTGCTCTTTTTTTCCTAAAACAATACTGAAACAAACAAAAAGCAACCATGGATTGAGAATGAGCTTTAAAAACGCAGCAGCAAAAAACAACGGTTAAAACAACAAATTACAAATTTTGAAAATTAAAACAACGGATGCGCGGAAAAAAGATAGTTCCCAAAACAAAATGTCAAAATTGATTCATCCATAGAAAAAGAAATCAAAATCGAAACAAAATAAGGCTTGAGTCAAAACTTTGAACGAAATGAGAGGTAACGGGAAAAAATTCATGTCACTGAACTTGACTGAGAACATTCTGAGCAGTTTAATGGCCGTTTTGTAAATAATGGCGACAGACTTGCTCGAAGCAACCGAACACGCATAGAAAAAAATGTAGCTCGTCAGCAGCAAGTGTTCTTATTTTAAGAATATTGATTTGATGTCATTAAAGTCATCGAGAGTTTAAAAATAATAAGGTACAAATAACTATAATATCAAAACTGTTCTTGTCACGCAATTAAAATTTATACTAGAAGGTCCTCTCACAGATATTTTTTTCTATGTTTTACCTCAGTAATCTAAGCAAAGTATTAAAGAGTTGCAAAATTTGTATAAAATTTCAAGAAAAAAAATTGATGACTCTCCAGACTATAGACCAATTTCGCTTCAATTAGTTCTAGGAAAAGTTTATGAGCGTACATTTTTCAGACAAGCCCAGCCAGGTGTCCAAAAAAATCCAAAACACAAAGAAAAAACTTTTAGATCTTACCAAATTTTTGATACATTTTATCACTCTAACTTGCTTATGAAATTACAACCTTCTGAGGGCCTGTGCTTCAACTTTTGGAAACTTACCTTGACAATTGTTATTAGTATATCGAGACAAACCATTTCAAGACCGATTTTAATATAGTCACTTTTAGAGTACCTCAAGGATCTATTCTAGGCCCCTATTTATTTATTCTATACGTAAATTATTGGTTAAAAAAAACAGAGTGACTTTAAAAATCGAAAAACCAAAAACAAGTCACTGTCGGGCCCAAAATTTAGATGGAAGACCTATCAATTGTTTTATTTCACTCGTAAATTGAAGATGTAAATTGTTTTCTATCAGCATACCAAACTTCTATTAGCATATTGATCAAGTGAAAAACATAGTGTTGCAGCTCTGTGGAATATTTTTTCAATTGAGAAAAACTTTAATAGATTAAACCTTAAAAATGAAAAGTATTTAAAATTGTTCTTAGCGTTTTTGAGCCTGGATCAGTTTTTCCATGGTGTTTCTCTAATTCAATTGAATCTTTTTAATCATAGGTTTTGGGCTGTCTTTGTAATAGAAAATACGATTTTATTGGGCATGATTCGAGATTTTTTTTTGATTATGTTGAATCTTTTCGTTGATTTTTAGGTTGAAGGTAGAAAAGACTATACGATAAAACAAAAAATTATTTCTTTTGTGTAAAAGAAGTTAAGACGAGGTCTTAAAAAGGCTGACTAATATAAAGTGTTTACCAGTAGAATGTTCCATTAAGTCTAATAAGTTTTTGATTTTTCTCCGCTTGTTGAGACACCTGAAAACGGACCGTGCTGTCTTAATGGGGCTCTCCCCATACGATGCTAATTTGCACGTGTAACTTTTTACTATATATTGTTTGCAATTAATTTCTTATTTCAATTTTTTCAATTTGGTGCGTCATTTTCGCTTTTGTGGGTTGTTTCTTAAAAGCCGCGGAAGAAAATGAAGTAAGAAAATATTTTGTGATTACGAAGAAAGTTATGAAAAAATTCTGACTAAAAATTATAAACTGAGTAAGCAATTTGGTCGTTTTGGTTACCCCTATTAGATGCAAACATCAGTTTTTGCGGTCTTTTTATTGACTTCACATAATTGTTTGGAAAACGGAAAAAAATTCTAGCATTGAGCCATATAAGGCCGTGCCGAGTTTCATGATAGCTGAAAAATACATATGATGAAAAGTACGTTACGAGGCCACACTTTGTATTTTGTGAACTTTAAGCGGATTCCGCAACAAGGACGCTCCCTTTGTTCTTTTTTTTTCATTTTCTTCTTAAAAGAGAAAAGGAATAGAGGAGGCCGATGATTAGAAGGGGTGAGCGAGGAATGGGGACAAAAAATTTATATGCGTTTTTTGAAATTTTTTTTGCAAAATTCGCCTTTAGTTTTAATAAAAACTGTAGCGACCTATATCAACATTACACCAAATTTGCTACAAATCGATTACAAAAGTCTCCATAACTATGTGGATGGATTTTTGCTAAAGTTTCGAATTTAACACGTCGTTTTTAATAATTTCAACGTAATATTCCAGCTAAATGGGGCATGGCGAAAAAAAAGTGAGGATAATTTGATAGGAAAAGGCATGCTAGAAAACACAATTGGCTGCCTCCCAAAAAGAGTGACAGATTGTAGCAGCACAATGATTGACTTGTTTTTCAGTACATCAGGATTCTTAACGCCAATTAGCACATATTCGGCGCTTGACCATTCTGTTTTTCAGTCTTAATCAAAATTCTCGAAAACGATAGGTTCACGGGAAGAAAATACTAGGAACTGGAACAAGTTGACAAAAGAGTTATAAGTGAAAAATTAGGTTAGAATCTGCAAACGTCTTCACGTGTTTTTGAAAAGTAATTGATCCCTATGAAAACAATTGCTCATTTTTTTCCTAAAACAATACTGAAACAAACAAAAACCATGGATTGAGAATGAGGTTTAAAAAAGCAGCAGCAAAAAAACAACGGTCAAAACAACAAATTACAAATTTTGAAAATTAAAGCAACGGATACGCGGAACAAAGATAGTTCCCAAAACAAAATGTCAAAATTGATTCATCCATAGAAAAAGAAAACAAAATCGAAACAAAATAAGGCTTGAGTCAAAACTTTGAACAAAATGAGAGGTAACGAGAAAAATATCAAGTCACTGAACTTGACTGAGAACCTTCTGAGCAGTTTAACGGTTGTTTCGTAAATAACGACGCCAGATTTGCTCGAAACAACCCAACTCGCATAGAAAAAAATATAGCTCGTCAGCAGCAAATGTTCTTTTTCTAAGAAAAATTATTTGATGTCATTGAAGTCATCGCGAGTTTTAAAAAAAAATAAGGTACATATAACTACAATATCAAAACTGTTCTCGTCACGCAATTAGAATTTATACTAGAAGGTCCTCTCACAGCTATTTTTTTATGTTTTACCTCAGTAACTTAAGCAAAGTGTTTGAGAATTGCAAAATTTGTACAAAATTTCCAGAAAAAAAATTGATGAAAACAATTGCTCATTTTTTTTTCATTCTGTTTTTCAGTCATGGAAATACTAGAAACTGGAACAAGTTGAAAAAAGGGTTATAAATGAAAAAAAATTAGATTTTCAATTACAACATGAAATTGGTAAATTTATGCAATTACAGAGTCCTTAGAATCTGCAAATGATTTCACATGTTTTTGAAAAGTAATTGATCCATATGAAGACAATTGCTCATTTTTTTATTTAAAAAAATACTGAAACAAACAAAAAAGCAACCATGGAATGAGAATGAGGTTAAAAAAAGCAACAGCAAAAAACAACGGTTAAAATAACAAATTAAAAATTTTGAAAATTAAAACAATGGATTCAATGAACAAATATAGTTCCCAAAACAAAATGTCAAAATTGATTCATCCATAGAAAAAGAAAACATAATCGAAACAAAAGAAGGCTTGAGTCAAAACTTTGAACGAAATGAGAAGTAACGGGAAAAAATTCATGTCACTGAACTTGACTGAGAACATTCTGAGCAGTTGAATGGTCGTTTTGTAAATAATGGCGTTAGACTTGCTCGAAGCAACCGAACTCGCATAGAAAAAAAATGTAGCTCGTCAGCAGCAAAAATTCTTTTTTTTTAAAAAAAAA